AAAAAAAAAAAAAAAAAAAAAAAAAAAGAATCAGGTTATATTAGGCAATTATAATTAAAACTAGAATTTTTCAAAATTAGGATCAGTGGTCCTCAGAATGAATAAACCAAACCTACCATTATAGAAAAATGCTTTTTTATATACAGCAGACTTTGGAAAAAAACTCAAGTTTTATTATAAAACAAATTAGATGCACATAGAAATAATTTAAATTTTAGCAAGTAATTGATCTTGTCCAACAACTGAAATAAATGGGTTTAGACTTTTCTATGACTGCCAGATGTGGTGGCACACCACTAATCCCAGCATTCAGGAGGCTGAAGCAGAAGGATTGTTGTGAGTTCAGAATTAGCCTGGACTATAAGTGAGCTCAAGGCCAGCCTGAACTACATAGTGAGAACCTGTGTCAGACAAAATAATGAGGAGGATTTTTCTTTTTTTTTTTACTAACCCAGTATACCAATAATTATAGTAACACTAATAATAATACCTAAAGTCAGTGCTGCCCAGAATGCTTTCAACATGTCTAATTTACTTTTTACTTTTTGTTACTAAATTTATTTGTATAGTTTAGTTATACATATTGATGGCACTTTTCATAGGGAATTTGTACGTTTACATGATGCACCTTGGTTCTGCTTTGTGTTTCCCATTTTCTCTTCAACTCCTCTTACACTTATTTGCAAACTTTTTTTTTCCATTTGATCCTCTTTTCCTCATTTTTGTTTTCCTTTCCCATTCTTCCTTTCCTCCACCTTCTCCCAGGTTCCTCATTACTTTTTTTTTTTTTTAATGTATTTAGTACAGGGTCTATAGGGTTTGTCTATACAGATTGGACTTGTAGTGATCCTCCTGTTTTTAGCCTCCCAAGAGCTGGGATTACAGGCATGCACCACCACGCCCAGTCTCAATAGTGTCTCAGCACACCCCAGGGGCTGGGCTGGCTTGGCACAACTGGGATCAAACGTAGTCCCTGTGTCTGCCTAAGCAGGCCTAAGCAGCCACTTTAAATCCACTGAGCTATCTGACCGGCCCTTCCTCATTACTTTTGAACAATTTCTCTCTATTTACAATATCTAGCATACATTTCTGTTCTCATACTTTCATTATCTCACACCAGAAAGACAATACAGTATTTTATATGTTTCTCTGACTCATTTTATACTTAATATGATCACCGCAAGTGAAGTCAAACTCATAAATGTAAACATGTATAAGTTATATCAATGTGTAAATTGTCTCTCGTGTGAGAAATTAAAAGAGTAAAGTCAAAATTTTACAATAGAGTGAAATTTGAAGAAATTGTTGTAAAGAAAAAAGGAACTAGGATGAGAAGGAAGGGAAAAGGGAGAAAAATGTAAGTTAGCTATCCTATTAGTGTCTCAGTTCACTGAAAAAGAAGGTTCATGCTAATACTGATTGGAGAAATTTTTATGACTATATCTGG